AAGAAGTGTGAGAGTAATTCTTACACTTATTGTCAAACTGTCTGTACTGGGCTAGCTTGATTATCACTTCAAAAGTTTTTTTTCTCTTAATTAATTGGCCTCTCAGAGGTGGTAAGACAACTCCCACCTGTTTATGCTCTCTGTATGTGTATATATATATCTCCTCAATATATGTTCCATTCTATATGCATCCGAAGAAGTGGGCTGTAGTCCACGAAAGCTTATGCTCTAATAAATTTGTTAGTCTCTAAGGTGCCACAAGTACCCCTCCCTCTGTGTTCAACAGCACGAGCGTTCCATATTAATGGTTTGCTTTGTGTCTCCGAGCAGATCAGCACAGCACACAAGGGCTGTCAGAAACAGAGCTTTGAAAGGGAGGGGCGCATGTTTCCAGGGCAGCCAAGTTCAAAAGAATGAGCAGAGCAGCCACTTAAGGGATTCTGGGACCCTTCTGGAGGCCAATCGATTGCTTTCTGCACTGTAATGTGTTTACACTGCCAATACAGAGCACTGGAGCCTCTGCACTTTAAGGCTTACGACTCTCGTCGAGGTGGCTTTTTGCAATGCTGCAACTGAGCTGTTTCTGCGCACTAAGTGGCTTGGCAGTGTGTACACCTTGGGAGTTACACCGCAGAAAGCTTCTTTACTGCGCAGTAACTTGCCAGTGTAGACAAGGCCTAAGAATTACTTCTTGTGTCTTGCTTACAACACTTCTGCTAATACATCCTAGAATGTTTGCTTTTTTTGCAACAGTGAATCATGGCGTGTACAAATGCAAGTCACGGGAGGTGATAGTATCGCTCTACTTGGCGCTGGTTAGGCCTCAGCTGGAGTACTGCATCCAATTTTGGTCACTGCTGTGTAGAAAGGATGTAGAGAAACTGGAAAGGATCCAGAGGCGAGCAACAAAGATGATCAAAGGGATGAAATGCAAGTCAGATGAGTAAGGCTACGTTTTAGTCACGGGTATTTTTAATAAAAGTCACGGATAGGTCACGGGCAATAAACAAAAAGTCACAGCCCCCTGACCTGTCCATGACTTTTATAAAAAATACCTGTGACTAAATCTTACCTGCTGGGAGGAGGGCACTCCTGAAGACTGCTGCTGGGGGGGTGGCAGTCTCTGCTGCTGGGGGGAGCTGCTGGGGGAAGCAGCGCAGGGCGACTTTTTGGCCGGGGGGGCAGCCCAGGCCCTGCTGCAGCTGGAGGGGGGGTGCGGCCTGGGGCCCTGCCGCTGCTGGTCCAGGTGTGGGAGGCCTGGGTCCCCGCTGCCACTGCAGCTGGTCCCAGTCCACTGCACCAGGGCAGCGCTGGGGACCAGTTGCCTGGGGCTGCCAGAGCAGTGCCTGGTGTGGCTGGCCCCAGGGCTTCCCCAGCTGCTGAGTGGTCCTGGGGTCAGCTGCACCAATGCTGTAAAATTCATGGATGCCATGGAAAGTCATGGAAGCCATGACTTCCATGACCTCCGTGAATGATTCGCAGCCTTACATATGAGCAAAGACTGAAGGAACTGGGTATGTTTAGTTTGCAAAAGAGGAGATGGGGGGATATAATAGCGGTCTTCAAATACTTAAAAGGCTGCCATAAAAAAGATGGAGAAAAGTTGTTCTTTCTTGCCACAGAGGGCAGGACAAGAGGCAATGGGTTCAAACTACAGCAGAACAGATTTAGATTAAATCAGGAAAAACTCCCTAACTGAAAGAAGAGTAGGATAATGGAACAGACTGTTTAGCAAGGTTGTGGAATCTCCTTCACAGGAAGTTTTCATCTGTCTTGATGATTTAGACACAACATGGCATCATGGCAGGGGGTTAGACTAGATGACCCTTGAGGTCCCTTCTAACTCTATGGCTCTATGATTTTATGTGTGGAATAAGCATCCCATCACACCCTGGTCATTTTAACAGATCAAATGGGGCAAGGACTGGGGTGGAAGCATTTTGTGTAGAGAATGCGGGTTGCTACAGAGAATGAGATACGAAGAAAAGGATGAAGGAGATTCACACAGACAGGTCAGGAAAAGAGAATCAGAAAAAGGAAGATGCAGAAAATGGAGGGGAAAAGGGCAGAAATATATCTGAGCCTCAAATGGAGCACATTTTCTCACTGTACAATGAACAGAAAAGGAAAGAAATGAATAATAAATACATAAATAAAAAATTAGTTCCTTCTAGAGATGTACAAATAATAGATTAGTAATTACGAAAAATTAGGGGGGGAAATGTTTCAGTCTAACTGAAAAAAAATTCACATTTTTTGGTGAAAAGTGGAAAGAAAATTGTTTCAGGCCGAACAAACCGTTTTTCACTTTTTAAAATATCTGAAATTTAAAAAAATAAAATTAAAGGAAGTTTTGAAACAAAACATCATTTCAAATGAAAAAACTGAAATGTTTTATTTCAAAGATGTTGAAACAAAACCTTTCAGTTTTTTAAGATTTTTTTTTCTCAGCCAAAATAGGTTGTCAAAACTGATGCAAATTCATGAAAGGTTTCAGTGCACAGAAACTGCATTTTTTGCCAAACAAATGTTTTGGATGAAAAATTTTGCCCAGCTCTGGTTAAGAACATAAGAACAGACATACTGAGGCAGACCAATGGTCCATCTAGCCAAATATCCTGTCTTCTGACAGTGGCCAATGCCAGGTGCTTCCAAGTGAATGAACAGAAAAGGGGCAATTATTGAGCGATCCATCTCATCGTCCACTCCCAGCTTCTGGTGGTCAGAGGCTAGGGATACCCAGAGCATGGGGTTGCATTTCTGACCATCTTGGCTAATAATCATTGATGGATCTATATTCCAGGAACTTATCTATCGCTTTTTTGAACCCCATTATAGTTTTGGCCATAATCCTCTGGCAATGAGTTCCACAGGTCGACTGTGCGCTGTGTGAAGAAGTATTTCCTTTTGTTTGTTTTAAACCTGCTGCCTATTTATTTCATTGGGTGACCTCTGGTACTTGTGTTATGTCAAGGAATAACTAATACTTCCTTATTCACTTTCTCCACACCATTCATGATTTTATAGATCTCCATCATATGCCCCCTTAGTCATCTCTTTTCCAAGATGAAAAGTCCCAGTCTTTTTAATCGCTCCTAATTTGGAAGCTGTTCCATACTCTTAATTATTTTTGTTGCCCTTCTCTGGACCTTTTCTAATTCTAATATAAGGCTACATCTACACTACAGGGGGGAGTCGATTTAAGATATGCAAATTCAGCTACATGAATAGCGTAGCTGAATTCGACGTATCGCAGCCGACTTACCCCGCTGTGAGGACGGCGGCAAAATCGACCTCTGCGGCTTCCCGTCGACAGCGCTTACTCCCACCTCCGCTGGTGGAGTAAGAGCGTCGATTTGGGGATCGATTGTCGTGTCCCAACGGGACACGATAAATCGATCCCCGAGAGGTCGATTTCTACCCGCCGATTCAGGCGGGTAGTGTAGACCCAGCCTAACTCTTTGAGATGAGGTGTTCAGAACTGCATGCAGTATTCAAGATGTGGTTACTATATTCTCCCTTTGATCTCTATGCAAACCTCTGATAGGCCGTTCTGCTGTGCATATTGGGGAGTATATAGTCCTGAATTTACACTGCAACACATGCACCATAACTTAAATATAGAATTCAGCCCACTACTGAGACCTGTGATCTATGCCACCTACTCCCATTGATTTCAATGGAGTCCTGATTTCACCTCTATTATTAAATTAATTTAATGGAGATATCCTATCTCCTAGAACTGGAAGGTCATTGAGTCCAGCCCCCTGCCTTCACTAGCAGCACCAAGTACTGTTTTTGCCCCAGATCCTTAAGTGGCCCCCTCAAGAATTGAACTCACAACCCTAGAGTTAGCAGGCCAATGCTCAAACCACTGAGCTATCCCTCCCCCCTTTATCAACCTATTATCCTTATTAGTTACAACCTTATTATTATTGTTGGCTAGGATTATCAACCTATCCAACACTCCTTTCTTTCTCTGTCCCTTCTATAGGAGGGAGAGTCTTCTCCCATGCATCGTCTAACAACTGAAACAACCGTCCCACCTTGTCCAAGGTTAGAAACGTCACCTGAAAACATCTTTCTTCCCATTTGCCTGTGTCTTTCTCTCTCACATCCCCTGATTCTAGGATACCATTTGTGTGGGAAAGACACTATGCCAAATCAGTGGGTGTTATAAGTTGCTACATGAATAGCGTAGAAGTCTCTGAAATCAGAGACTTACCCGGACTTTGCCAACTTCCCTCTTGTAGATGGAGATGTTGTAGCCATAGACATAGATGTTGGTCACTCGTAGAAAGGAGATGGCCTGGCTGCCCCTGTTATCATTCTTCTCATCGATGGTAAAGGGCTCCAGGGAGCGGTCGTGGCCACAGTACTTGGCAATGGTGTAGGTGCAGGTGCCCTGGAAGTCAAACGTCAGGCCATCAAAGGTGTGATAATGCGGGTCCCCCCAGCCCCAGCAAGTTCCCACGTAGTCGGGAACACATGTCGCGTGGCCATCCTCTGTCTTGCACGTCTCCTTAGTCCGGCATTTCAGGGTTTCACAGGTTTCTGAAAGGAGAAAGCCCAGTCACATCAGAGTGGGGGACTCGAGACAAGTGTCTAGGCTGGGGGAGCAAGATCTGCCATGAACAGAGCATTCATGCAGAACCAACTGAACCAACCAAGGCATGCTGAGGATACTCAACAGAACTTGGCTTGCTGCAAACTCTGGTCCCAGTCCAGCTAAACACTCAACTGTGTGAGCAGCTCCACTGAAACCAATGAGGTTACTCACATGTTTAAAGTTATGCATGTGCTTAAATGCCCCTGGTTCTGATCCAGCACACCCTCAATAACCCATTGCTGTGGCAATGAAGTAATTGGCTAATTCCCACTGACTCCTTTGGAAGTGGCATTTCAGTCCATACATCAGTGAGCAGGCCCGCCGACGGCACGGGGGGGAAAGGGGCAATTGCCCAGGGGCCCGGGTGATTTAAAAGGGCCAGGGGGCCCCAGCCATTGCTGCGGTAGCAGCCAGGAGCCCCGGGCCCTTTTAAATCACCCAGGTGGACCTCAGGGCTACTAGGCACGCAGGGGGTGGTACCTACGGCAGCGAAGGCAGCCAGGCGGGCATGTGGAAGTCCTGGCTGTGCCGGAAGAGCGCGCCCAGCAGTGCAACTGCCCTGGGACCCGGAATTGCTGTTGGCGGGCCTGTCAGTGGGAGCCACACGTGCTAGGGGTTAAATTCTGAGAGATGTAAGCAGCTTTGACTCCCATGTATTTCAATGGGAGAAAAAGTTAATCTCCTGGATCTCCCCTCATAACGCCTGGATCTCGCACAGCTTTGTTCTTATGCTGTTTCACTCTGAAGACCACTAGAAATGTTCCACAGACTCCTATGGCCCATAGACACTGAACTACACCATTGCCTGCTTGCTAGATACATTGCACTTATAGCCAAATTGCGGATAAGCTACCTGTGTCTGTCATTCTTTCAAACTTGCGAGTTCTTCGAGGGGAGACTACTAGGGTACACTTAACCAAACAAAGAAAACCCTACAGAATAGGGGGAGCTCTACCCTAAGAATCACTGCAGACCCCAATGCCCCAGGAACCTGGATCTTCCCATCCCCATGCTCAGGTCACTCACCATCCCCTCCATCAACAGGGGAAACTGTCGGATTAGTCCCATTGCCACCTGTTTCGACAGAATACCAACCTCCTAATTCACCACAGCTGGATGGTGTCCTCCAGTCATAGACAGTGACTCCATAGTCTGTGCAGGTGTCTGCATAGGTCTCCAGCGCAACACAGAGAATGCTCTTGTTCTCCTCATTCAGACACACGTCATAGATGCAGTTGTCAAAGACGTCGTCGGGGCTCACCTTGGAGTGACACTCTCTGAAGGGCCCTCCCGGTGCTTTGCTGATCAACCCACAGTGATTGTCATCCCCATACAGCTTCCTTCTGCTCTCATCACATGTCAGGCAGTTCTCTTGGCAGGAATGCCAGCAAAAGGGATCCCGGTCTTGGACTTTCCAACTGGCAACCCAGCCCACGATGGCAGAGACTTTGATGCCGTCAGAGGACATCATGTCGTCTTCTGGGTTCTGGTTGAAGTTCCCACAAAGACCGCACATGGCACCATAATAGCTGCTGGGGAGGGTGATTTCCAGATGCCAGTTCTTGTTGTACCCCACCCGGAGTCCAACGTCCGTCTGCATGACAATGCTGAGGCCTTTCTGGTACAGTCTGATTTTACCATCTTTCAGCATCACTGGGAGACTGGTGATCACACCGTTTAGCTAGAGACAGATAGGAGGGGAGGAACACGATGGGCATTATTCTTCTTTCATCCTCACTTGCAATTACTCCAAATGTAGCCTCACCATTCATTTTGGCTGTTATTCATTGTCACTCTAACCAGCAGCAAGTAAAATAATGGTCAAATCCTAAATCACTGTTTACCCATTCCTTAGTCAAGAAGAACAACTGAAATCAATCCAAAGTCCCTGAATAAACACAGTATTTATCTAGCTTCACTATCTACCTACAGAATCTGTTTCCAGAATTCCCTATATCTCTATATAGTTTCTACCTATCTGAAATAGCTATCGATCTAGCCACAAAGTCTTGTTTTTGCTCTCTATCTATGATAAGGTTTTCAAACATACAGATCATAGAGAGCAGATGTATTTATCTACTTGTATTGCCCACATGACATATTCAGCTGACGGCATCTGTTTGGGATTCTGTTTGTGTGAGACACTACACAATAGTATTGTGCCTTGTAAGTCAAAAAGTGCCAGAACCCTGAGCTGGGAGACTCACCCGGACTTTGCCAACTTCCCTCTTGTAGATGGAGATGTTGTACCCATAGATGTAGATGTTGGTCACTCGCAGAAAGGAGATATCCTGGCTCTCCCTATTGGCGTTCTTCTCATCAATGGTGAAAGGCTCCAGGGTAGCGTCACTCCCACAGTATTTGGCCAGGGTGTAGGTGCAGGTCCCCTGGAACTCAAACTTCAGACCATCAAAAGTTTGGTAGTGCATGTCCCCTGAGCCCAAGCAGGTTCCCGAGTAGTCAGGAATACATGATGTGTGGCCATCCTCAGTCCGGCATGTCTCTTTGGTCCGGCATTTCAGAGTTTTGCAGGCATCTAAAAGAAAAAATGTTGGTCATATCAACATGGCAGGGAAATCAAGTCGAGTATCTAGGCTCCTAAGTGCTACAGTAGTATAAATAATCATAATAATCTATATATAATAAAGCAGTAAGGCATGTACCTATGCCATGCCAAGAGTCCTAGACCATTGTGAGTTAGAGGTATCTCAACCAACCACCACCCTTACTCTACACCTAGTTTGTACTCAACAATTTCATTGGTTGTAACGAGTCAGCGATATAAGGGAGACTGCCCCACTGTCCTTTAAAGATTGATTCACCACCTGTACAACTTAACACTAACTCTCCAACGCAGTCCACATGCCCAAACAAATCAACACAAAATCCCCAAACATGATCCCCCAGACACACACCCCTCATTCGTCACCCATACAATTCAACACAAAATTCTTCAGCCCAGTCCCCCCGATACAAATTAACACAAACTCGGATTGAGTCAGCCATGCAGCAGCCAAGCAGTCAGGTGGAGGGACTGCAGGTCCAGATGACATAACCTGCCGTGTTCCTGAGTGATCAGGTCCGGCCACAATGGTAGAGCGATTGGTTTCGTCACCAACAGATCGAGGAGTGTGGTGTACCAGTGTTGTCTGGGCCACGCTGAAGCAATCAAGATTAAGTGGGCCTTGTCTCTGCGTAACTTGAGGAGGACCTTGTGGACCAATGGAAACGGAGGGAAGGCATAGAGCAGGTGGTCTTTCCACAGTATCAGGAAGGCGTCCAACAGGGAGCCCGGGGAACGTCCCTGGAGACAGCAGAACACCTGGCACTTCCAATTCTCGCGAGAGGCAAAAAGGTCTATGTGGGGAAATCCCCACCTTCGGAAAACAGAATGAATAACGTCTGGACGTATCGACCACTCATGAGCGAGGAAGGACCTGCTGAGGCGATCTGCCAAGGTGTTCTGGACTCCTGGGAGAAAAGACGCCACTAGGTGGATTGAGTGGGCTATGCAAAATTCCCATAGATGTATGGCTTCCTGACAGAGGGGGGGATGACTGCGCTCCACCTTGCTTGTTGATGTAAAACATGGCCGTTGTGTTGTCTGTGAAGATCGCGACAGAACAGCCCTGCAGGTGTTTGCGGAATACCTGACACGCTAGGCGTACTGCTCTCAGTTCCCTGACGTTGATGTGCAGGTTTATTTCTTGTGCGGACCAAAGGCCTTGTGTGCAAAGGTCCACGAGGTGAGTGCCCCAGCCCAGAGAGGATGCGTCCGTGGTGAGGACTAGAGAGGGCTGTGGGGCACGGAATGGCATCCCCCCGCAAACAAGGCTGGGGTTTAGTCACCAACCCTGAGAGGACAAGACCTCCATCGATACCGTGAGTACTGTGTCCAAACTGTCCCGGCCTGGACAGTACGCTGACGAGAGCCAGATCTGAAGTGGGCGGAGGCGTAGTCTGGCATGTTTGTTCATGAAGGTGCACGAGGCCACATGGCCCAGAAGACTGAGACATGTGCATGCTGTCGAGGTCGGGAAGCTTTGGAGGCCGTGGATAATGGTCATCATGGACTGGAAGCGGGTCTGCAGTAGGCACGCCCTGTCGAGATTCGAGTCCAGGACTGCCCCAATGAAGTCTATTCTTTGGGTTGGCCCCAAAGTGGACTTTTCAGCGTTGAGCAGCAGGCCCAGTTGCCTGAAGCAGGTCATGAGAAACCAAACGTGAGACCACACCTGTAGCTCGGACCAACCCCATATGAGCCAGTCATCGAGGTACGGAAACACTTGGATCTGATGTCTGCGGAGCCAGGCCGCTATGACAGTCATACATTTTGTGAAGACCCTTGGCGCTGTGGAGAGGCCGAAGGGGAGGACCACAAATTGGAAATGCTGCTTTCCGACCACAAAGCGAAGGAACCGCCTGTGCGTGGTTAAATCGCTATGTGGAAGTACGCGTCCTTCATGTCGAGGGTGGTGTACCAGTCTCCAGGATCCAGGGAAGGGATAATAGTTCCCAGGGTAACCATGCGGAACTTCAACTTTACCACGAATTGGTTGAGTCTGCGTAGGTCCAGGATGGGCCGAAGCCCCCCCTTTGCCTTGGGGATTAGGAAGTAGCGGGAGTAAAAACCCCTGCCCCTCAAGTCCTTTGGTACCTCTTCCACCGCTCCAATAGACAGGAGCACTTGTACCTCCTGCAAGAGGAGTTGCTCGTGTGAAGGGTCCCTGAAGAGGGATGGGGAGGGAGGGTGGGAAGGGGGGGGCGAAATAAACTGAAGCTGGTATCCATTTTCCACCATGTGTAGGACCCAGCGATCTGACATTATGCGAGACCACACAGGGAGGAAACAGGAGAGGCGGTTGGAGAAAGGTAGGGAAGGATCCTGGGAGGAGACTGGTGCTCCGTCCTCGAGCGCAGCTTCGAAAGTTTTGTCTGGGCCCCGCTGATGGTCTAGGGGGGCCCTGATTCTGGCCTGCTTGCAGACCAGGTTGTCGCCTCCTATTGCCACGACCACACCTTCTAGAGAAGTCTTGCCGTGGTCGAGGGTTAGGGTAAGTGCGCTGCAGCTGGGGCCGGAAGGGCCTGCGTTGTGTCACCGGGGTATGCATGCCCAATGAGCGCATGGTGGCCCTGTTATCCTTCAGACTTTGTAGTCTGGGATCAGTTTTATCTGAAAAGAGATCTTGGCCTTCAAAAGGGCAGTTCCGGTGGAAGGCCGGACACTTGCAGCCATGAAATGAGGTGCATAGCTAGAACTCTAGCCTCGGGAGTAGCTGCTGAGTCAGCTGCGTCTAAAGACGCCTGCAGAGATGTCCTTGCCACCTTCTTGCCCTCTTCGAGCAAGGCCCCAAACTCTTCCCTGGACTCCTAGGGAACCAACTCCTTGAATTTTCCCATCGAGTTCCAGGTGTTATAGTTATAACGGCTCAGGAGGGCCTGCCTGGTCTGCGTGCAGTGCCGGGGGCACTGGGCTAAGTGCCGCTTCCATCAGGAGCTGTTTTAGATGGAAGTCCCGCTCCTTTTTTGTCCGAGGCACAAATGCGGCACTTATCGGGTTGATGAGCTTCCCCCAGGCACTTCAAACAGGAGTCATGGGGGTCTCCAATGGGCATCGGCTTGAGACAGGCCGAGCAAGGCTTGAAACCTGGAGACTTGGGCATGAGCCCTGGTACTGGGGCGGAGGAACGGGGATAAACCCTGATTCCTCATCTTATACACAACTATATACACTATATATACACACACACACACACTATATTTCAGCTATGCCACTCTCCACAGTTCCAATGACCGTCATGGGCAGTAAGAAGAAACTGAGGGGGCGCTGGGTCGGCAGGGGCATATATCTGGCGCCATAAGGGCGCGACTCCAGGGGGCGCCTCAGCCGACCCACCGAGAGTTCCTAGGGTAAAAATCTTCCAACGATCGTGCATGCGGCGCGCGCACACCTAATTGGAATCGATATGAGCAAGCACTCGAAGAAGAATTATGCCTCCCAGCTGCTGTGTACATGTACCTGAACAACTGAATCAATGATTGTTTTAGATCTCATTAACTAACAGGGCCAGGTGGATTAGCTCTTAGCTGAATGACTGCTAGGGGGAGCTCTACCCTAAGAGTCAGTGCTGACCCCAGTACTTCAGGGATCCTGGGTATTTCCATCCCCATTCTCATCAAAAAAGATAAACAGATTGACTACCGCTACTGCGGTCAATAAGAAACCAAGCTGCCAGACTCACCACAACTGGACGGCGTCCTCCAGTCAGCGACAGTGACCCCATGCTTCCTGCAGGCTTTCGCGTAGGCCTCCAGCGCCTCACACAGAATGCTCTTGTCCCCCTCATTCAGACACATGTCATAGATGCAGCTGTCAAAGAAGTCATCAGCACTCACCCTGGAGTGACACTCTCTGAAGGGCCCTCCCGGTGCTTTACTGATCACCCCACAGTGACTGTCATCCCCATACAGATCTCTCTTGCTCTTATCACACACTGGGCAAGTGCCTTGGCAATAATCCCAGCAAAGGGGGTCCCGGTCTTGGACTTTCCAACTGGCAGCCCAGTCCATGATGGAGGAGACTATGGTGCCTTTGGAGGACATCATGTCATCTTCTGGATTCTGGTTGAAGTTCCCACATAGACCGCACGTGGCCCCATAATAGCTGCTGGGGAGGGTGATCACTACACGCCAATTTTCATCATGTGCGATCTGGAGGCCGAAGTCTGTCTGCAGGACAGTGCTGAGGTCTGTCTGGTACAGTCTGATTTTACCGTCTTTCAGCGTCACTGGGAGACTGGTGATCACACTGTTCAGCTAGAGACAGAGAGGAGGGGGGAGGTATGATAGGTGTTATTGCTCTTTCATCCTCACTTGTTCTTACTGCAACTGTCATCTTGCCACTCATTTTGGCTGTAAATCATTGTCACTTTAACCAGTGGCATGTAAAAGAATCATTGAAATCAAAGTGACTTTACCTGAATAAACACAGTATTTATCTAGCTACACCCTATCTACCAGTTTATGTTTGTCTGCATAATTTTCTATCACAACCATGTCAAACACACAAGACCAGTTGCATTTATGTACTTTTATTGCTGATATGATATATTCAGCTCATGTCGCCTGTATCTAGGATTCCATTTGTGTGAGAGGCACTACACAAAAAATACTGTCTGTTATAAGTAGAAAAGGCACAGAGCCCTGAGCTGGGAAACTCACCCGGACTTTGCCAACTTCCCTCTTGTAGATGGAGATGTTGTACCCATAGACGTAGACATTGGTCACCTGCCAAAAGGAGATATCCTGGTTCCCCCTGTTGTCGTTCTTCTCATCGATGGTGAAGGACTCCAGGGTAGGGTCACTGCCACAGTACTTAGCGATGGTGTACTTGCAAGTGCCCTGCAAGTCAAACTTCAGGCCATCAAAAGTTTGGTACTGTGCATCCCCTGAGCCCATGCAGATTCCAGTGTAGGCTGGAACACATGCCTCTTGGCCATCTTCAATTTTGCATCTCTCCTTGATCCGGCATTTCAGGGTTTTGCAGGGATCTGAAAGGAGAAAAGCCCAGTTCTATCAACAGGGCAGGGAACTCAAGTCCAGTGTCGACGCTGGGAGATCCAGCCCTGTCATGGGCACAGAGTTCATGCAGAACCAGCGGAGCTAGCCAGAGGACACGTTCCCCTTTATTCGACATTGGTGAGGCCTCATCTGGAA